GTTGCTTCTGATGTAAACATCTCAATGTCTGCCTATCTTGTAATAGTCCTATTATTCTTAAAAAAAAAAAAAAAAGAAAAAAGGAATAGAAAAAGAAGCAAAATTTATTTTCACAGTTTATAGTTTATCTTTATCATTTATTGACTAATCACCACACATTAAAATGTTCTTTTTATTTGGTGAATATATTTAAGAGTCTAGCTTATGGTCTTGGAAATTGTACCCAAGTAAGGGCATAGCTTTCTGTGTGTTAGTATCACTGACATTACTTTTACAATTATGTACCTCTCTATACTTAACCTTAGTTACTTGTTTCTCATTCCGTATTTTGTACAAATTCTAATTTATCTCTCAGCTCATTAAAGAGCTTACTGTATAACCATGTTGCTTTGAGAAATGTGGCCTAGTAATTTCTCAAGGACAATTGGAAAAAAGTTTAAATTGTTTATAAATATTGCAAGAAATTGCCACCTTTCCCTAGATATTCTTTCTTTAAAACAACAATATGAATATATTGGTCACCAATATCTTTTATAAGGCAACCCAACAATATTTATCAATACTTCATCCCACTTTCTAGAATAAGACAGATATTCAAATTAATTTCCCCTTTCAAAGTGTTGATGGCTTGTGAAATTAGACTCAGGTAGATAGCCTGGAAAACTGTATTAGCCTCTCCCTCTCACTCAGACTTTCTGAATGAATAGACAGCATTTCCTCTATTTAAAAGATGCCTGTATTTCATTTCATACGCATCAAATGTCTCTATAAAGAGAGAAAAATGGGAGTCAAGAGAATTGGTATTTTTCAAGTGGGAAGAACTCAGACTAGATTCTATGATTAAATGTAGAAACAACTCTCCAAAAAACTAATTTATGAAAGTCATTAAGTTAGTATAACCACTTCATTTTGAAAAATAGCTACAGCAAAATCTAGTGTTTGGTTTATGTATTTATTTTTAGGTATTCCTTTTCCTTATGGAAAAAATAACTTTTATGTAGCTTTTTATTTATTTGTTTAGTATCAATATGAGTTAAGAAGAGACATGTTAAAATGCTGGAAAAAATGTATACAAAAAATGAAATCAAGAGAGAAAATAGTTCACGATAGCAGGACCTCTTCCTGTTATATTGCAAGAATATGGATTTATATTTATTTTATAATCTGCTTATATTCATGCAAAAATAAAAGCAAATATGCAAAAATGGAGGGAATGAGATTTACTGATTATCATACATTTAACTGGAAATCTGAAAAGCTGATATGTTATTTTATCAAAATGAATATTTTATAGAAAAACTAAAATGTCTTTAATGAAGTATATCACAAGGTACCATAAAGAACTGTCATAAATGGACAGTATTCTCCATCCTATAATTTGCCCTGGTTCTAAAACAATCCAGCTAAATAATTCTATCCTTAAAACTGTAAACAATCAACCACAACCAAGTATTTTCAGAAGAGCTTTTACACAATGTGTTCAAGTAAAAACGAGTAAAGCCAACTGTCAGTGCTAATTGCTTAGCAGGAATATTCTAACAAATTCAATTCAGATAAAATAATGAAAAATAAAATGATTTTTTATTAACTTAATTGCTTTGGGTTCTCTCTAGCCCTGGAGATATTTCAGAAAGAGAAAACAAATAAATAAATGAAGAGTAATTTTAAAAGAAGGAAATGAAGCTAATGGTAAGTGAAATATTTCCCAATGGAATCAACAGACTTGTCTGCTGCCCCATGTGTTCAGTCCAGCCTGTATATGCAACAAAACACACAAGGGTGTGACTGGAACCTCATCTCAGGCTCTCTGATGTTCTCAGAGCTCAACAGTGGCAAGTCCATCGCTTTTGTTGGTCGTGAAGGACATTATCAACAACACTGTCTGAAATCTGCAAAACCCCGTGTATCAATAATTTCCAAAATAAACACCCCAAATAAAGGGGAATCAAATATTGCATGGCAATAATCTAGAGGATCTAAACACCTTATTAGCAGTCCCTTTGTCTGTTTTGGATCATTCAAATCCTAGTAAAATGATTCAAATTCTCTTTGGTCATCTATTAATACCAACAATATTTATCAGGTGGGGTTCTGCGTGCCTAGTGACCATAAAAGACACTTAAAATGTTTAAGTAGTTTAGTAATATCTTTCAGTTGAAGATATGACTTCAGATTAGTGGATTTAAAAGCGCTTATAAGTCTTTCTCCCAGGCTTTGTCTCCTCCTGGTTAGATAAGTACTGCACACATATGTATGTGTACTCACATACACACTCACATGCACACACCCCTTTACATTGCAATTCTTCATTGAATAAATATCTATTGAGTATCTTTCATATGCCAGGTACAATCCTAGGTTCTAGGATGGAAAACAATTGAATAAAGAAAAGTCATTGCCACAAAGATTATAGTTGAGTTACTTCCTACTTCATTTTATAAGTTAATTGAAAAAAATCATGATTCAACTTCACATATTAAATCAGATTTTCTAATCCAATTAAACATCTCATTATAGAGCATATTTAATAATTTAAGCATGTTGATATTACCTTTTAATAATAACACTATCATCTACCATTATTTAATATTTTGAAGGAATAAGATACTGTGCTAAGAGTTTTATATAAAATATTCATTCATTCAGCAAACATGTATTAGCATCTATACCTTACCAGAAAATAGTATAGGCTAGGGCTTCCCATGCATTTCAAATTTAAAGGTTGATGCTTTACCCCAATAGTGGTGATTAACTCCAACTTTCATATTCAAATGACTAATAGAAGGAAGTTCTCTATACTCCTACTTCCTTTACATTTTTTAACACACTGTGAAATAATAAAATACAAAGAAACAACTACTCCCAGAAAGCTCTACTAAGAGTACTCTGTCTCTCTTTCTATTTCATAGAAATTTAGTTATTGAAACAAAAACCCACAAAAATAAAAATTTTACTTCACATTCCAGCTTCCTGAGACCCATTGCTTGCTGTAAGGTATACATTTATTTCACTATTTTTTTCTTTAAAATAATTTCAAATTTACAGAAAAGTTGGAAGAACAGAATATATATTTTTTTCTGAACCATTTCATAGAACATCGAAGATGTGCTAGGCCTTTATTCCTGAACACTCAATTTGTATTTTCTACATGGACAATATCTTCAAGGCCAATACAAGCATAAAAATCAGAAAATTATTAATGATGACATATTATAATCATCTAAAGCACAGATTATCTGAGCAGAAGTTTCTATTTTTTTTTTTTTATAAAAACTGACCAGCTCAAAAGTACATCAATTATAAAAGGAATTCTTGGGATTTAATGATAAAGCACAAATACAACAATAAATTGAAGAGCTGGAAGACGAATGCAAGCTACTTACTCAGAATACTCAGAATGTAGAGCCAAACAGACATGTAAATCAGAAAAGCAAAGATTAGACAATCAGAGTCAACTCAGGAAATACAACATTCGATAAATCTTGTTGAAGAAGGCTTTCAGGGACAGTGATGAAACCCTTCCAATGAGAGCTTCAGAGACACAGTACTGCCAAAGGACTATCACTTACTATCAGGAAAAGAACTAATCCCCCTCAGTAAATGTTAAAATGACCTTTGGAAATGAAACTCAGTATGCTTATACAAAACATTCTTACATTGTCAGTGACTCTTCCATCTTCCCCATGTACAGTAGAGATACAGAGAGGAGGCATGGGAATGGGGGCAAATCACTCAGTCAGTCTCTCTTTTGACTACCTAAGATTCAAATTGCCCTGAGGGAATGAATCTTTTTCCTAAGGATTGTGGAAACAGAACTGCCACTTGTAATACAGCCTTAGAAGTAGGCAGGGGACAAGTGGATTATTATCTCTCAGACCTGCTACTTCTACTTCAGAGCTGCTACTTTAAAATAATCATACAAAATTAAAGCAAACAAATACCCTCCCCTAATATCTATCATACCATGTTTTACAAGCCATAACATTTTGGATTACAATAGACCCTTAGAGAAATAATACTTGAATATTCCTTCTTCTTGCATGACCCACAGGTGGTCAACATGTGACTTGCATTCCTCACCCTGCCATTGAAGAATGGGCAGTTAATACCCCAGCAGTCCTCCAGAAAAAGCTGTTTTTGCTTTCTCAAGGGTAAGTCATCAGTCCACAGATGCCCTTGACTGCCGGGAGCACATAACAAGCAAGCCTTTGAAGGTTCCCATTGGAGAAGCCCCCAATAATACTGGAGCTAGAAGATAGCTCCCTCAGTTCTTTCAGTTGGTGGGATTTTATCAGAGGGCTCTGGGAGAGATTTCTTGAAAACAATAAAATTGATGAATTATATAAAATTATTTAAACTATTAAGAGACACATGCAACTGGGAGGCACTGAATTAGTGTTAGGTCAAAAAAAAAACCTAAGCAAGTGAAAATATGTGTTTAATAATGTTAGAGAAAACAAAATATTGAAATAAATATAAAGTGATCCTTGTGGAGTACATAACCAAGCTCTAAATGCTATCATTTAGTCAATATAATAAACATGAATATTCATTTGATCAACATGATGATACACTATTTCAAGATGATGAGAGCACAAAAGTGGAGATATGTGTGATAAGGGCTGGAAAATGAAAGCTAAATTTTCATCTTCCATAGTGGGAAGCCAATAAATAAGGCCTATTAATAAAAAAATCAAGACACAGTAGTATAACCATGTTACTTAGAGATACCGAGAGATCTTAAAAGAATCAGCAAATGTAGTTGCAAGTAGTTGCATCTGTGCAACAGGAACTGGGCTGGGAAAGAACAGAGGCAATTGCTGTTTTTGTAGCAAACCTAATAGAACCATTTGATACTTTAAAGTACATACCTAAATAAGTTTTATTAAAATAAAAAGTAAATTGAAAAATACTATACTGCATATACTGAAATCTAAATGGCCCTATAAATTTTATTTTTGATGTACATTTTACATTTATTTGATATTAAGTTTGCTTACCTGTGATATGTAAGCTTGATAGCAGCCTGGTTGGAACTTTAAGAGCACAAAACTGAAAATATTTACTTTCCTGCAAATGGAAAAAAAATTAAACTACTGACACTATAGTAAAGTAGAATGTTTACTTACTGATTTCTTGCTGATTACAGAAACTATGATCACCTGCAATGATAGTAATTTTAGCCAAAAGGACAGAAATCTTATGTAAATAACTCAGAATTGTACACGTAACAAGCCATTTATGAAATACTGAAAAAATACCCATAGAAAAATATTATGGAAAGTTCACTGTCACCGTTTTACAGTTAGCAGGATTATGAATAACCCTGAAAGATGCCGCACATCACAACTGTGTCTTGCAATGTTTCTTTCAAAATTGTAACATTTACACCAAAACTAAGAGTTACAAGATCATTTATCATCAGTGACCTTTAACAAATTTGTCTGTGATGATTTGAAAATTTTTGGTTTGATTTCCTCATGGAAACTGCATTTGGATATTTTAATTTCAAATTACAAATATATTAATGGCTCAAAAATATATGTCGATAAACTTGAGTGAGCCTATTATTATACTATTTTATCACATATTTGTTAATGGTGCCTGATTTACCTGATGAATGAAATTGTAAGTCTTGACCCAAATGAGTACCAATTAACATTTGTATTATATAGCTGGAAAAGGGAACTGACAGATTCTTGAATGCCAGAGGTCTCAATTTGTATAGGCTAGATGTAGTCCTAATAGACAAAAACCACATAGGATAAATGACATTCTTTGACTATTTTAACCTAAGTTTTTATTCTGCTTTTAGATTTTATCAAATAGATGGAAGAGTAAGGCGAAAGAAGTAAGAAAAAAAAAAATCCTGCTCAAAAATGCAGGAAATAAAATAAGAAAATCTACCCAAAGGTCTAGAGCAAAACTTTTCTAGGTCACCTATGAGATTCCAAATGCAGCATTCATTGGCATGGGAGAAACCTCACACACAAATGTGACTCCCATGTAGTCTCCAATCTTAACTCTCATAATCAGCAATGTCAAAAGTCCCCTTTCAGATTCTGCATCTGTGATCCATGAACCCTACCAATCATGGGTAGTGTATCTCTTTCTACGGGTCTAGAAGTAGAAGGAGGAAAGGCAAACAAAATAAGATGTGAGATTCTTTGCCTATCATTGCCTGTGGGTATCTATTATTGGAAAAAAAATGAGAATACACATTCCAAGATGTTTTCTAATGACAACAATTATGATACAAGCAGAACCCTGGAAACCCTGAGTTGTAGACCTGAGCCCTGGTAATTTGTCATGGGAAATAAACAAATTAAGAAAGAATGAGATTAATTCACCGACAGTGCTGTTTCCAAAGCATGATATTACAAGGCTTGAGCATTTTGGGGAGGTGGGTGGGGATGGCAAGGGAAGACAGGGTCTCACTCTGTCACTCAGGCTAGAGTGCAGTGGTGCAATCACAGCACACTGCAGCCTCGATCTCCTGGGATCAAGTGGTCCTCCTGCCTCAACCTCCCGAGCACCTGGGACTACAGGCACTAACCACCATGCCCAACTAATGTTTTATTTTATGTTTTTGTAGAAACCAGATCTCACTATGTTGCCCAGGGTGGTCTTCAACTCCTAGGCTCAGGTGATCCTCCCACCTGTTCTTCCCAAAGTGCTAGAACTACAGGAATGAGTCACTGTGCCAGTCAAGCCTGAGCACTTTATTTCAAATGCAATTTATACAATTTAAGACAAGGAAAAAGAAATCAACACACTTTAAACTTCAGCAGAATTCTTAGAGAATCACCAATCCACCAATCGTGAAGACAGATCCCATGCTATGCTCCAATCCTTCTCCCCACTATTTGCCTTGGACACTTCTTATACTAGATACCTTCATGGAAATATCATTGGCATTCCCCCACAGCCTGCCATACATGCCTCGGTTAAAGCAGATGCTAAATGCACACACATACACGCACACACTCAACATAGACACTCAGAAAGAAAGATAAATAGACCTTTTTAGACATAGGTATTAAATTATCATACAAAAGATATTTCTACCTAGGAATGGGAAGTCAAAGTATTTCATTTAAAATTATAATTCATACATACATCACCAATCAATGATAAGTTCATTCTGCATATGGATTGCAGTAAGTGTCCTGCCTGTATTCACAATCTTTGCACTATGACCTCACAGTTCTTCCCATAGAGAGTTGCTATATATTCACCTGCCCTTTAATTCTGAGTTTAGCCACAAGACTTGCTTCGGCTAAAGGGATGTTACCAAATGTGACTAAGCAGAGGCTTGTACAGTTGGGCTTGTTATTTTCTCCTGCCACTATTGTGAAAAATTAAGATCATATGCATGTAAGTTTACTGAAAGATAAGAGATAGAAAGCCCTGTCCTTGCCCTAGCTGAAAACTACCAACTAGAACTACCACTGCCAAAAACTTCTAGTTTCCACATGGAAACAAGAAGAACCAACCAGTTAAGACTGATGTAAATCACCAACTCTCAATCAGATCTGTGAGCCAAGCAACTGCTTATTGTTTCAAGCCATTGAGATCTGGAGTGGTGTGTTATGCAGTGTTATTTAGCATAACACATAGAGATCTCTCTTTTGAGGACATTCATAAGAATATCACCGAAAATGCATGGAACTAGTTAATTAATGGTTAAAAAAAAGTTATAATAAAAAATATCAGGTTGTAGAGTTTGAAAAATATCACACTGAAACTCATGTAACTTGTAAAGCCATAGTTGGAAGTTTCATTTGACAAGAAGCAAATAAATGCAAAAATAAAAATACATTCTTACATAAATAAAGTGCATTGTATTTGTTTCCTGAAATTTACTTCTCCTGGCAAGAGGGGCCCTATTTTTATGAAACTATCCATTGGTATTGGAAATGTTTAGATAAAACGTATAGCCATGCTATGATAAATTTATTGCATTTCTCAAACTGTTAGCTATTAAATGTGAAGACATGATTATAGCAAACTCTACTTCTCAGTAAAGTTGAGGCACGGATAGATAACATTTGCAATATATTGTCATCAATTCAAGGAAAGTCCTTTTGCTCCTTATCAATCCTTTCTTGTGTTCTTGTTGTACTACATCTTCCATTCTCTTCCAGAGCTATTCTACAACTTCACTGTCTATTCAAGCCCCCTTTCTGATATTAATCATTTCACTCACTTGACTTATAAGGTGCTATGCTATTATTCTAGTTTTCTATTTCTACTACAATATTAATCATTTATAAATAGAAAAATATTTTAAACCTTTTCGAAATTCAAATTTTTGTGTTAAAGTGATTTGGGAATATACTGCATCCCTAAAGCACATCCAGGATAATACTAAAAAGAAAAAGAAACAAAATCATAAAAGCAGAAGATATTTTTATGGAATGCAGCCATTAAAATACAATTAAAGAAAAAGAATAGCTAAAATAAGTATCTAGAACAATTAAGAAAACGAATCAAAATTGTAAGAAAAAAGTACTTGGAAAAGGATGATAAAAACTAAATGAAGTAAGGAAGACAGATCTAGAAAGTTCCACATGGGTCTAGTCTGAATACAGAAGGCACCCACGTCCTAAAAAAAAAACTAAATAGCAACAATTAACGAACAAAAAATGAATAGTAAGTAGAAATCAATGTCTTTAAATACGCTCTTCAAAATAAAACAACATGTACAAAAATTATCATAGTAATACTAATAAAATTGATGAAAATTATGTTAAGGCAATCACATAAAACAAATGGCAGAAAGATAATGAGGGAGAAATGTGCTAAACATGGCTACATTTGTTTAGTTTCAGGCTAAACAAAATAAATTTTCTAAATATCATTGCATTGTTAAATATTTCTGGTTCATTATTTAGGATAATTTAATAAACTAAAGAGTATGTTTAGTAGTGCCAAATTTCATAAAAAGTGTTTATTCCAAAGGAAAACTATAAATTGATTTTTGATCACTAGAAAGGATATATATTACAAGCCTTTAAAATTGTGTCTGTATAAGGAAAACAAATGTAAAACAAATAAACAAACAAAAAAAATATTACCAGGACTGGGGCACAAAATATGTACCAAGAAGGGAAGGAAAAATAATGTGAGAGAGATAAGAGGAAAAAATCTTAAAACAATGGCTCATTTATTGACAATTTGAGCTGTGTCTCTAACAAAACAATATAAAATACTACATGTAAAACAAATACACCTGCAAAGGAATAAAAAAGAAGCTTATTTTAGTGCTGCAGAAGTTTTTCTAATCAGTTTCTGCAAATCATAATCTTGAAATTTATTATTTATTTTTGTGAGCCCTTAGCATTAAGTTAATATAAAGAGTGCCTGAAAAATACACTTTCTAATTAATTTGAGGGGTTTCTCATTGTCAATGAAATATTTTTGACCTGAAATTGACAATACCTAGATTCTAGTCCATTTCTTTTTAACTAACTCATGTTAAGTTAGGCAAGTCACCAAAACTCTGGATCATTATCTTCTCATCATTAATACAAGATGGTTACAACATGTTGCCATATGTTTCCACTTTCAGAGCTTGATACATTATTGCAAACGCTGTGATATGTCATGTACAGTCAGTTCTCTGTATCCATGGTTCTGCATCATCAGATTTAGCCAATGGTGAACCAAAAGTATTTAAGAAAAACATAACAATAAAAATAATACAAATAAAAATACAGTATAACAACTATTTACATAGCATTTACATTGTATTAGGCATTATAAGTCCATTAGTGATGATTTAAAGTGCATAGGTTATATGCAAATACTATGTCATTTTATATAAGGGCATCCGCTGATGAGCATCCGCTGATTTGGGTATCCACAGGGCTCCTGGAACCAATCCCCTGCACATAACAAGGGATAAATGTATATAATCTTGATTAAATCCTGACAACAGTATTATTAGGAGAATTTTTTATCCCTGTTTTACAGATAAGGAAACTAAAGCCAAGAGACATTAAGTAGCCTGCACAAAGGCACGTAAATGCATCTTAGTATTCACATTCCAGTTTGCCTCAGCTATTATGCAGTACTGCATCCAGGTGGTTGTAATAAAACAGCTAATATCTTATGAAGTGTGAAAGAACTCATCGCATGATTAATTAGACATGTTAATTGCTCACAATATATA